CCTCGCCCGAATCATCCAACCATGATTGTTTGGTTCCCAGAAAAAAAGGGTGGAAAAAGAAGAGGAGACGGCGAGGTAACTTTCTCAACTTGGCCAAACTCTTGGGGCGCAGCAGATGGTGCTAGAGCGTGGCGCGCCCCGTGTGCACGCCTGTGCGGGCGCGCAGGGGACGGGGACGGGGGGACAGGGGGCTCGTGCCGCCCCGGGGGGCTGGCGCAGCCTTTTTGAGAAGCATTAAAACTCTGCTTATCTTCTGACCTAACTGCACTTGTGGCGGTGCCTTTCCAAAGACTCCATCCAGAATATGGGGGCGTCACGCGCACTGAGGGACTCCTCGGTGCAGATTCCAGTGCCAGGGGAAGCGGAAGCTTTCTGGTGGTCGGCCCACGGACCAGCCGGTCACGCGGTCACGTTTCCTCGGGGCGCTACGTGTGCCTGGGAAGATAGCAGCCTGGGAAGTGTTTATAGAATTAAAAAGAACAGGATATTAAGTCGTTTTCATTTTGTTTCACATGTTTTTAGAAGGGAGAAAAAAAATGTGAGAGGAGATACACCACAATGTTAGTATCGGTGGGAGGTGCATAAGTAATTTATTTTGTTCTTTATTGCTATATTTTGTGCAATGTGGTTACCATTACTTTTATAATGAAAAGGGCATGTTTGTGGTAAATAAAAGAAAGACAACAGATGGAAGCCTAAGAAAAAACATCTTGTTTTAAAAAAATAGAAAGTCAGAGTGGTCCCTGGCAGGTGACAGGTGGAGAGGTAAACTCTGTAACCTCCCCCTCCAGGCACAGCCCCCTGCTTCCCAGTGTGTTTACTGGGAGGGCAGAGGCTACAAGCATCAGACTGAGGTCTCCCTCTCACCCACCTCCCCATTCCTCACCCACCCCCACCCCTATTTCAGACACAGCCTTAAAGACAAGAGCCCTGTGAGGAAGGTGAGTACATAAGGGGCTGGTCCTCCTAGGGGATGGGGTGGTCCCTGGGAAGGTGCCAGGACCTGGAGCCCTCTCTTCTCTCCATAGGCCAAATCCACACCCAGAGCCAAAAAGCCAGTATACAAGAAATGAGGAGCCAGGAGTGGCCTGGCCACAGTGACCAAGGGAGGGCCTGCCAGGCCACCATGCACAGTGGGTCCTCCTGGGGTGCACTGTGGACCCAGGGAACATCCCCCCCCCCCC